TTCCATTTTCTGGGACATGGTTGGTGCATCTGGATCTACTTTCATTGCATCTAACTGAACCATCAATTGCGAAATAACACCAAACAACATATCAAGGTGTTTAACCTGGGCTTCCTCATCGTGTTTTGACATTTCCTCTAACTCCACCTGTAAATTAAATACAAAAAGATAATAAAATCTGCACATGATGTTATGTAATAACTATGGTGCAACGTTTTTACTTAAGTTTTAAGATCTTGATACAAGTTAATGCGAAGAACAAACCATACTCAACCCTAATATCATACAAAGTATTGAACGAATATATATTGAATAAGTATGTATGAATATTATGGAAATGATGGGAAACATTACGCAATCTGTTACAACATTCACTAATTTCAGATGGTCGTCCTCTATTTGTTTTGTTTCTTGGGAAGATATCACACTAATAATTTTCTCATTCGGCTTTGACCTCGAGAATCAAACTGTTGAATCGACTACAAAACCCATCCAGTCATTGCTTCATTTACTACAACAAATGTACGTAAAGTACATCGGATTCACTCGTCTTTTGTGAAATTTGTAACCAGCAACTTTATCTGGCCTAACAATTCAGTTCACCCACTAATGCCATAGTATGTTTAGAGTTATCCTCGGGGGCGGAGCTACGTCACGGACGTTCTGCGTTGCTAAGACGCGCACCACTGTACCACGTATTTCTATGGGCTTTTTGCGCGCTGCTGTGGAACGCCGGTGGAGCCGGTGAAAACTCGAGAAAACAACACAAACTCAACTTTGAAGTAATCCTGAACAACCAAATTCATATATGTTACACGCGTAGGGCTAATCTTGTTACACTGTTCAGGGGACTCTCAACAACCATCGCAAAGTACCGTTTTCTGCGAGTTGTTGGGCTTTGTTTTCACCGCGAGGGTTGCCAGGCGGTTGAAAATGCCCGGATGTCCGCCCCCCGAGGATATGGAAATTGTAAATTAATTATTAGAACAGCCATTAAATATTGAGCAATTATCTAATGATATTACCATAGATTAAATCAGGTGTTCATACACTATGTTTGGTAATGTTCTGTGGATGGTTTTGTATTCTATAAATGTTTAAGCGGACTTACCAGATCATCGCATCCAACTTTCTTGAACTTGCACAGACCAACTTTCTTTTTGCAGTCACCAATTTCAGCATCAGTGTGTTCTGTAAACTGTTGAAAATTGAATTTATGTAAAAGTTTAATTCAAACAAGTACAAACCACTTTAAGTTTGAAATCGATAAAATTCGGAATCTCTTCTTACAGATATTTTTCGGGAAAAACATACCTTTCCTCTTGGTATTCCTTTCTTTCCACAGAACTTGCACGTGATCAAGTATTCTGGACATTTCCTGTGGTGTCGCTGTGTGTTATTTGTAAAAAGAGAAATAAACAAGTTAAAAAAACAGAAGTTGAATTTAGTGGAAAGTCATTTAAATATATTAAAGCAACCACCTAATCGTATTTATTTATGTACTTAAATCACGTGTGATCCAAAAAAACTAATCTCTCATAGCAGGTAATTACAAACTGGGAAAGAATGTGGAAAATATAACAACAATGAGACGGAACAATGTTCTCTTTTCACTTTCCAAATCCTTTAGAAAGAGAGGTAGCTAACCATTGCATCAGCATAAAAATAGTGGAAATAAAAATGCTTTTACAGCAGAATCCAATGGGAATACTCTACTTAATAATTTGGTTGGCTGGGTAATCTTGATTACATGAGAATTAATCCACACCAAGGTTATAGACAGAAAATAGAATGACAACGTTATCGAAATAAATGACAGCAGTTCCCAGTCATAACCACAAACGTTAATTACAATACAATAGTACATCCAAACTGAAATTAAACAAACCTTTAAGTCTCTCCACACTACTTCCTCTTTACAGTAATGACAATGTACATCTCTCATCTGACATGAATCTTCCAAATGTTCTGCCAAAGATCTTCTCAGTATTTTTTCACCGCAGCCACTTCTAATACAATTGATCAACTCAAAGTCGCATGTAGCGGCATGTTCCTAGAGTTGTCATGACAACAAAAGATACCATCCATTAATGCATACATACATATGTTTTAAAAAATGCAGGTAAATAAAACTAAGTCAGTTACGCATTCTGAGAGCTGAATAAAGAAATCTATTTATACTTAAAACTCAGCTCTGCAATCCCTGGAATTGCTCAGTGCATTATGGGAAATGCCATAGCCTTTTTTCACTGTGCATATGATTGTTATAAAAAGTGTTAATCCTATGTGCTACCTTATGTACATATCTTCCGTATACCATATCTGCCTTGAATGAACGTATTAATTGTCACAGTTTGGAATAAACCTGTCAGTGACAGTGAATTTGAAGATTGCCATGTGTATTCACTAAAATTCTGTAAATAATGTACTCCATGCTATCTCTCTCTCTCTCCCCCCAATTTTCACTGCTGCACAAGTGGTGTACAGTATATTCCAGTGTACATTGTATAGCGCCCTCAATGTTGAGATGACTTTGTTTTTTTTTCTATATCAAGACATTTTAGTACGTCTACCTGTATCCATATGAATAACAAAATGGCTGACTTTGACACAGTGTATCAGTAAATAACCAGGTTTTCAAGTTGTAAATTTGTGAATAATAACTGTACATACCTGGTATGTTCTGAAAACTCCTTTCCAATTACAGCCAGTATTGATGCATTGTACGTTTAATCCACTCAGTTCTCGCTTGATTGCATTGTCAGGGAAAACCTGTAAACAAGAAATCATTATATTACAATTTATTCAGTCTCACGAAAATGTACGACATTTTCCCGCCAACACATTGTTGTTTTTTAATGTTTACCAAATAGCCAATTCACAGATCAAATATTTTGGAAAAAAATAGAAAAAGTTATGCAGCTTTATTTTGTGGCAAAGTGGCAAAATTGGTGTTTAATGGCTAAATGTTCACATATGTATGTATATTATTAAAAACAATACCCATAAAATGTGACTATATATGTACATGCAAATGTGTTCCGTCCTTCTTATTGGTGAACACATAATTCAAGACAAATAAAAAGCAAAATTATAGAGATAGCAAATTATAACTTTTTTGTAATATTCTTTTGTAATCGGTAATTATGTAAATTATTTTAGGGTACATAGGGAATACATTTTGTTATGAATTATTCTTAGTATAAATTTCTGTTTATTTAGGGTTTGTTTCTCCCAAAAAACAAAAGAATGTCACAATGTCGAAAACGGAAAGTCTTTATCGTAGTGTTTAGAGAGATTTTAAATTTCCAATTAAAAAAAAACTAAATTAAAAACTAATAAAAGTTTTCCGAAGCAGACTTCACTTGTCAAGTACATGAAGCGATACATCAACCATGTGGTACAAGGGGAATGACTTATGTGTTTCAGATCCGTGTGGAAATGTACATAATATATTAATAAGATGAATGGTACACACATACACACAGATTTTAAAGTTAACTACGCTTGCAGGCTTTTGGCTGATGAGACATTTGAAGTAACCCGGATAGAAAGTTGTCACTTTTTGTTTAAAGGATCTACGGGTCATTTAACGCAACCAAAAACAGGCTAGGCGGTTTTAATCGTCATGATACTACAGAACACCTTATTAACGAGTATACTACCGCCTGTAAAATTAATACTCTTGACTGAGCAGTCGGCTACCGGGACAGTGGACATACAGCCTTCTTGGTGCGAGTCAGTGCGTAAACATTTCAAATATTGATCACAGGAAACTGTGCAGGAAGATGTCTCCCCCCCGATGAATTCCTTTCTTTTCTTGACCCTACTAAACATTTGGAAGCAATCATCTAATCACATTCTGCTTTATGAAACGGTTAAATATTTTCAGTCGGAAATGTTTGCGTTTTAATGATTAAAGGTATCATCACCAACACATTTGAGAGAGATGCGCCTGAGGTACTTATATATTCAGTATCAAAGCAGACTTGTGTTTTTAAAAAAGTCAACAGTATCAATGTTTACCAAAGATGACAAATATATTCTTCAAAATTAGTTTGTTGATATCGTCATGAAATGAACAACCAGGTCAAATGAGGTCAATCCGTGACACCTGGCGACCATTCATTATATAAAATGCATGGCACATAAAGTAAATGCGTATTTGTCGAATTGAAATACAAAATACGTTATAGAAAATTACATTAGCTGCGGTACATAATACGGCCATTTATTATTTGTTTACGAACGTCCCCATGAACATATCACAATATGTGATGAATTCAACATTGTCGAGTGTATAGCGCACAAATCTAAATTGATATATTGAAATCAAAATTAAAATAGCTGACGCGGACGTCGGACGATAATCAGTAAATCGACAAGCTTAACTTAGCAGCATAGTGACACAGAACTTTAAAAATTAGCCATGACTATAAGTATACAATTTATGTTCAATATATGTCATGACAGTTCCCATCGTTTTTATGAGCAAATGTGCTTGACTGCATGTATACAGGGCACGTTTCGTGATACATGCTTACAACCTTTTACA